TAACAATTTATTATTTGTATAGTATATATCATTTCCAGGTATATTTGAGTTTGATTGGTTAAAATATTTTTCGTCATCCATGATTATATCTTTTTCATGGAATAGTTTATTAACTAATCTTCTCGATGATGTTGCTGCTCTCTGTTGTTGATCTTTTTCATGCAAAGGTGCTTTTTGTTTTTTGTAGCATTTAATATCTGATACAACACGCGATCTACCGGAAGATTTAAAAAACCTTTTCGTACATCAAAACTAACGAGCCTCGCCATTTCCTATCGTGGCCAAATGCTATGAAACCGTTTTACAAGCCTGAGTGGTAAACTAAAAGAAGCCAATACCTCTCAAAAAATTAAAAAGAACATAATCGAACTTATTGCCAATCAAGATTCTTAACATGATTTTTTCAAACAATACACTTTTGTTTCCAATTTTTATTATCAAGATTTTATCTTCTTCAAGTTCTACGGTCTCGTAACTATTATAAATAATAAAATGTACTTGTATTTAATATTTTTAAATATTTTATCGGAAACTATCTTTAATTGTAAATGGTTGCTTGACAAAAAATAAATAAATGAATAAAAAAAGTAAGAAAAATTATTATTTTGAACAAAAATTTTTTTTTTTATGACTCATTGACGTCAGTATTTAAAAAAAAAAAAACAGTTTAAGTTACTATGTTTTTTCCTTTTAAATTGTTGTTAGCACACGCTCAAATGAGGGGCAACTTCATCGTTAAAGAAAAGATAATACTGAAAATAAATTTGTTTGGCAGGGGGCAAATACCCTATACCAAAAGGAAATAAACACAGACTTGAGACTTGACCTCAATGACTTGAGACTTGCTCCAAAGCGACTTGAAAACAGCTTTTACTGTGCGCCAATGTTTCCAAAATAAAATCTAAATACAACTATGATACCTTGTGTCGCTTGGTATAATGAGTGGATTGCTCCTCATCTTTACTATCCAAAAATACATATTTCTTTAAAATAAAATAAAAGAATAATGCAATTTTATAATTATTTGTGTCGTTATAAAATGTATAAAAATTATTATTAAAAACATGCTAAAAATTATCTAATTCTCTGTGTAGTGTTTGTTTCCTTTTGGGATAGGGTATTTGTCCCCTGCCAAACAAATTTAAAAAAAAATTAAAATCAAAAAAATATATATAATTTTTAATTACACTGAGGATGTATTTAATTACTTATTTTTGTCTTGGCTTTTAGTAATTGATTTAAAGTTAAAAATCCATTAATGAAACTATATAATAATCATTTTTAACGATAGACACCACGTGAAGGTAAGCCAGAGCCGCTATCAATAATTTTATGTTAGTTTCATCAATTACGATACCTTTTTGCAAGTCACAACACCTGCGCAATCTGTTTTGCAAGTTTCATCATTTGCAATACCTTTTTGGAAGTCACAGCATTTGTGGTATCAATTTTGCAAGTTTCATCACTTGCGACATCTTTAAAAAAAACAAAAATCTCTTGACTATACAAATCATAAATATCCGTTTTACCTACTAATATGCTTCGATAACTCATCTAAAATAATATGCAAACTGCTAACAACTAACAATAATACAAAGATAACTAGTAAAAGCAACTAGTAATTCCATCAATAATAAAACTAAAATAATATAAGTCAAACTAATAAATAAATTAAGTAAATTTTAACATTTCTTACTAAGAGTTTTTTCAATCTGGGCTAAAAGAAAAATAATTAAAAACTCAATTAATCTAATTACTAATAAACTAGTAAAAAGTAGTAACCTAATAAATTACTAATAAACTAGTAATAGTAGTAACATAATAGTGAGACTTACAAATGTATACTAAAACTATATAAAAAATAAAAGCATAAATTACTCAATCCATTTCTGTTTATTTTCATCTAAAAAACAAACAAAAATAAACTATTTTTTAAAACAATATATACACTTTTTCATATAATTGATATAATGTTTTTGTAATAAGAAGAAGGTAAATTTAGAATAAATTGTTAAAGAGCAATACATGATATTAAAAAATATATGTTATTTAAAAATATTATAAATATATGTTATTTTTAAATAATTTTTATTTATTAATTGCAATTGTTATTGTTTAACGATAGACAGCACCATTAAAAATACAATTAGTATTTTAATAATTTTTTAAAAACTGTTTTAACAGTCGATGTCCTTGTGGATACAAAAAATGTTATATTGCTTCATATTACCATAACAAAATGTTTGATTAAAAAGACAAATATAGAGAAAAAAAATTTTCGAAAAAGCGCTCTAACAAACAGTGACTTAGTCAAAGTTTGCATGCATGGGTAGCATCCCGTAGCGTAGTAAGAAATTATACTCCATCCAACCCTTACCATTCTTTTATTTCCTCCCCCTCCGCCAAAGTTTCGTCATGGCCACTAATCTATTTCTACTACTCTACTACTAGTAGAGTAAAGACGGGCCGCATGAGACCCATAGTGCTAATAGTGGCTGCTAAATAATCATTGATTTTTTATTTCATATTTTTGTTGAAAAGAAATAGATTAGTGGTCAAAAAATTACTTCCAATTACTTAAAAATCTTTACTTTACTTTGTAAAGTGTTTTTTAAATATTATGTAAGTTTACTTCATAAATAACTTTTTCTAGAAATAAAAAATAAAGTACATTTCGATGTAAGTTTTTTACATAATTATAAACAAAATTAACTTTTCAAAGTAATTTACTTTACACGAATTACCATTAAAAGTAAGTTACTTTTACTTGTAAAAAAAAATACTTATTTAAGTTAAAGCTACTCATTTATGAAACTAAACTTTAATAATTATTTAAGTTTTGTTTCTTAAATTAAAATTTATATAACATTTAAAACTTAGTTATAATTAAGTTTTACATACTATATAAATTAAGTAAAAAAAATAAATTACTTCTAAATATAAGTAAATTATATATTATATTTGTATATTTATATATTATAAGTTATACTATGTTTCAAAACTCTTACTCAATCTGGAATCCGTTTTGCTCCTCCAAAATCCATCACACAATTATATCAAACCTTGATAGTACCAACATTAACTTACGGTCTGCAACTTTGTAAAACCATGACGTAACAACGCAAAACCTAGACAGAATCGGAAGGAGCGCATTAAAATCGTTTTTGAACCTTTCAAAACATTGCAAAAAGTATTTACACCTGTTATTTAAAATTCAAGATATATAAAAATGTATTCACCAAAATAAACTGAACTTATTTATTCTTCTTTTGGATAACAAATCGACGAATGATATTATTCAATCTCAGCTTAAAAATCCGACAATAAAACAATCTTTTGTAGATGATGTCCACTTGTGGGAAGAAGGAGGGGGTGGGGGGTGGGGGGATAAAATCCCAAAAGATATTGAGAAAAAATTGAAATACTTGTTAGATTGGTGGAACATAAAAGAACAGAGAAACATTTTCAAGCAAACTCTAGAAGAAAATATTCCAAAATGATTTCTTTTCTTCCTTTCCAAATTGAAACAATTTTTTTGTGTGTGTACTTTTACCTTCTAAAAATATTTTACAGTATGTGATTAAGAAAAAATAATAATAATAATAATAATGATAGTAATAATAATAATATTTTAATATGAGTTATGTAAAGTACTTTACGCTTAAAATTAATTCGTGTTTTTTTACGTCAAATTAAGTAAAAGAGCCATTTCTAAAGTAAAACATATTATATTGAATCTTTTACATAAGCCAAACTGTAAACAATATGTTTATATTGTTTAGTAAAGAGTATTTTTTAGTAAGAGTTTATATTCTCTAGTAAAGAGGTTTGAAACAACATAACTACAAAACTTTAAAGAAAAATAATAACAAAAATAATAATAGTAATAGTAATAGTAATACAAATTGCTGTAACGACGATTGTCGCGGAGTATAAAGTTTAAAATTTATACTTTAACAGCCGTTAACAAATGTTTATCTAGTCTAGCTTTAAAAGAATTTACTGTCATTGCAGAAACCACTTTTTCAGGTAAAGCATTCCAATGAGGTATCACTCTGTTCGTAAAAAAATGTCTCGGTGTTGTTTTTGCAAATTCTCTTTCAAATTTCATTGGATGACCTCGAAGTCTCTGGGAAGAAGCTTTATTAGGCTCTTTATACCATAATATCTTATCAATCCCAGTTGTTAATTTAAAGAAAGCAATGAGATCTCCTCTTATACGTCTTGTTTCCAGAGTTGTGAGGCCCAACTTTGTCAATCTTTCGGTATAACTTAGATGTTTTAGTTCAGGGGCTAGCTTTGTTGCTCGCCTTTGAATTTTTTCTAGGTCATTGATATTGTTTTTATTACTTGGACTCTACACTGGAGCTGCGAATTCCAAGTGTGGTCTAACCAACGATGTGTATAGTTGCCTTACTATTTCAGTGTTAAGATAAGTAAAGCTTTTTCTTATTAAACATAAGATTCTTTGTGCTTTATTTGTAGCTACTTGAACCTGATGATTCCAGTTTCATTCATATTGGATGAAACTATTACACCCAAGTCTAGTTCTTTTGTTGTTGTTTTTAGAAGAAAACTTTGATTGTTTTGCTTTATAGTGTAGTTATAGCTAATATTTTTTCTTACAATGTGCATAACACTGCATTTATTTATGTTAAAGTCCATTAACCATACATTTGACCATTCATTAACAAATAAATGTCATTTTGCATATTAGTTAGATCATTATGTTTTTTTATAACAGATATGATTTTAGTATCATCAGCGTATAATTTTGTGATTGAAGAGATACATTGGGGAAGATCATTGATATATAACAGAAAAAGAAGAGGACCTAATACAGAGCCCTGTGGTACACCACTATAAACCTCGCACCAATCTGATACAACTTCACCCATTACCACTCTTTGTTTTCTGTTTTTTAAATAAGAATCAATCCAATTTAAAATATTGCCTTTTATTCCATAGAAATTTTATGTATAAGTCGATAGTGGGGCACCTTATCGAACGCCTTTTTCAAAATCTAGGAACAATATATCAACTGGATAACCATTTTCAATTTCAGTTGTAATAATATCGAAAGTTTCTAATAGGTTTGTTAGGCACCCTTTATTTTGTATAAATCCATGTTGTTGAGACGTTAACAGATTGTTTTCTGTTATATAAACTATCAGTTTTTTTCTAATTATTTTCTCTATTATCTTACTTGGTATCAATGTTAAGGAGATAGGTCTGTAGTTGAGTGGATCTTTCTTGTCTCCTTTTTTAAAAAGTGGTGTAATGTTTGCAGATTTCCATAATTCTGGCAGCTCTCCTGAATGTATCGATTTCTTGAATATTAAAGACAAAGGTTTGGATAATCCTTCTGCACAATGCTTTAGCACATAGGGACTGATGTTATCACAACCAAGTGACTTGTTTTCATTAAGTTCTAATAAATAATTAAATATAATATCTTCTTTTAGTTCTTGGTCCCAGTCACATTCAAATAAATGACTAGTTTTATTGCTGAAATATGGTAAATCTTGATTTTCTTTGACAAATACTGATTGGAAACTACAATTTAGTAGATTAGCAATTACTTTTTTATCAGTTATTATTTTGTTGTCACTAGTTTTAAGTGCTAGCAATTTTGTATGTGTCTAGTTTTTTCTTTGTGCATATGCATAGAAGCGTTTTGGATTATGTTTTACATCTTTTGCTAAGTTTATTTCATAATCAAAAGTAGATTTTTTAATTTGTTTTTTAATTGTTTTGTTGATAAGTTTGTATTCATTTTTTAAGTTTGTGTTCTTGAAGTTTGTAGCACGAACTCTGCACCATAAACTACGTTTTTTTCTAACTAGATTCTTGATTTTTTTATTAATGCATGGATTTTTGATAGAACTAGTGGGTTTGAAGTGGCGAGGAATATATTGTTTGCAAGCTTTTTCATAAATTTTTAAAAAGTATTCATAACATTGATTTGTATTCATTTTGTCAAAGATTTCAACCCAATTTACTTTATAAAACATGAGATTCATTTCTTTGTACTTTCCGTTTTGAAAATTAAATCTCTTATTGTTGAATTTTTTCTCATATGAATAGAGTATGTTAATTTCCCATTTTAATATGTAATGGCTTTTAGTAATTTGACCAAGTGGAGCATCATATTCAATGTTAATTTTTAAATCTAGATCGTCGCATATTATTAAATCTAATATATTTGCTGGTTTATCAACAGCCATTTGAAAAGTTGGCTTGTTAACTACTTGATGTAAATAATTGTTTTGCAAGTTATTAATAAATGCTCTGCTTGTTTGGCAGTTTTGCTTTAGCTCGATAGTTCCGTCTTCATTCCAAATAATATTTGGGTAATTAAAATCACCAACAATTATTACATTTTGGTGTTTTCCATTCATTACTTCCTTTTTTGCAGTTTTTATTAATTCAATAATTGCATTATTTATTAGGTCAGTACTGTTTGGTGGTCTGTATATACATCCAACTAATATTTTTGTTTTATGATGTACAATGCTACACCATATTTGTTCAACTTCTTTATATAAAGGTGAAACTGATACTTCATAAGCAATTATATCATGTTTTGTAAAAATTGCAACACCTCTACCTTGTTTGTTTGTTCTATTATTGTAAAAGCAGTTGTAGTTGCTAGTATTTATAATTAAGTCATTTTTGAACCATGTTTCAGAAATAAGTATGATATCTGGTGAGTCGATCATAATTTTTGTTTCAAACTCTGTTATTTTATTTACTAAAGACGTAGAATTTGTATACCAAAACTTAAGATAGTTAGACTTTTTATTGAATGGAAAAATAATGTCAGATTTGTTTTTATTTACACTAGATAATGAATTAATTTTTAGTTTTTTCACTTTTCTTGACTTTGACAATCGACTCATTTTTGACAATATACCGAAAGGGCTGGTTATTATCAGCATTATTTAAACGATCTCTTTCTTTTAAAAGCAATTTTCTGCTTTCACGTTGTGCAAATGTTAAATCCTGATTTATATATACTTTATTTTTATATTCGACATTATATTTCAAATTGCTTGCTGACTTTAAAAAGTCTGCAACTTTTTCTTTATTATTTAATTCTACTATTACAATACCAGGTTTGTCGGTTTTTGATTTTAGGCGGTGGTGTCGTTTAATAAATGATTCATCGACCTTCAGGTAATTAAAGATCTTTTTTAGTTGCTCGTTTTCATGTTGTATATTTTCTTCAGTTGATTTATTTAATTCATCAAGACCGTGTAGAATCAAATTGTATTCTCTTCTTTATTTTTCTTTATTTTCAGCTGAAATCGCGGTTAGTATTCTTGTTTCTTCTGGTTCAAGAGATTTGTTATGAAACAAGCTACTAAAAAGTGGTTTGCTGTTAATTTGATTATTTTTGCTAATAATTTGAGCTTGATTATCTTCTAAGAACTTCAATTGCTTTTCTAAGTCAAGATTTTTAGATAGTAATTTTTTTACCAGATCTTCCAGTGCTAGAATCTTTTTGTTAGTCTCTTCTTTGAACGTATCAAATTCTCCTTTTCGAACGTTGACCATATTGATTTACGTACTCAATATTTATTATTTATTTATTTTTCTTGATTACTATCTCTATTTAATGTATGTAGTTAATATTCTATTTTGATTACTTTTTGTTATCAAAAACATCGGCCATCTTTTTTACGCGGTTTTTGAAAAGGTTTTACGCGGTTTTTGAAAAATAATGATCCAAAAATAGTAGATAAAATAATTAGTAATACTGTAAAATGTTATCGAGGGAAAGGATCAAATTTTTATTTTGTTTTTAAAAAGACAAAAAAAATGTGGTTGATCAAAAATAGAGGTGTACCGGATATAGCAATTTACGTATCCGACCGATGCCGGATTTCATATCTGGCCGGATATGCCGGATATACCGGATATATTGAAAATTAGGATAGGATTTAGTTTTGATGTTTGTTTTTAGTCAAATTGGGAAAGTGAAAAATAGTGTGTAAATCCACAAAAAAAAAAAAAAAAAAAAAATTGTATTACATTTTCCATGTCTGTCTGCATATGTGGATTATCTGTTTTTATTGTAGTTTGAAAATTTATTAACAATTACTTACGTAGCAATAACTTTAAAATTAGGTTGCTATCTAAATTTCCAAACTATGTATTATTACTTTAATTTTTTTGTTATGTTTTTTTATTGTTTTCTTTACAATGTAACAATGCATTTGGAATCTAACAATGTTTACATTGAAAGTTAACAATGCAATATTAATTTCAATGTAGTATTTATACACTGTATAGATATCAAAATTACCATTTGTATAATACAGATAAATATCTTGGTATCAAATGTATGTGTATAATTATTATACACATACATTTGATACCAAGATATTTATTAAATATTTAAAATTATACTAAAATAGTTAAATATTTAATGTCAATTTTGAACACGTTTAGTTTTATATTTCAGACAAACATAATAATGCAGAGCTTTATCTGGTCATTGTATAAAATAAATGATGCAAGTGATGTGTATGCAAACTGTAATATCTGTAAAAAAATGATTAAACGTAGAACTATGGAGGCTGGGCAAAAATGTTTTAGTACAACACCTCTGCATAACCACATCAAAATAAATCATCCAAAAGAATATCATATAGAAAGAAATAAAAATGAACAGAAAAAAAAGCTCAGGCTGTAAATAAAATCACACCAGAATTTTTTTTCAATTAGTACTACAGTAAAAAAAGAGACTGTTTTGGAAACTTCCAAACAAACTTCAATAGATGAATATTTAAAGTCACAAAGGTATGGAGCATTAATGACTTTAGGTCGCAAACTATTCATTGTAAAATTGGGTTGATGATGGCCTTAGACAACCAGCCATTTACTTTAGTTGAAGATACAGGTTTTAATAACTTAATGAACCATTTAGAACCCAGATATTGCATGCCAAGTAGAAAATTTTTTTCTAAAACAATAATACCTTAACTTTACATGGAGTTAAATAATAAAATTTCTGATAAATTAATAAAAACAGATTACATAAGCTTTTCTTCAGATATATGGACATGCCCAATTTCTCATGAATCATTTATTTCATTGTCTAGCCACTCCATCGATAAAGATTTTACCAGATTTGATGTGGTATTACATGCTTCTCATTTTCCTGAAAGCCATACTGGAATAAACATATCCAAAAAGTTAGAAAGTATGTGGGATAGCTGGAAAATTCAAGCTGAAAGACGACATATTCTTGTAAGAGATGGTGCAAGCAACATGATAAGTGGGAGTAATCTAGCTGAAATTCCCACAATCCATTGTACTATTCATTTACTTCAATTAGTTGTTTCAGATTCAATAAGTGAAAATATTGTAATTGATGTTCTTTCAAAATGTCGTCGACTTGTAACTCATTTTAACCATTCATCTCTAGCATGTAACAACTTTAAACAAATTCAGCGGCAACAAAATCTCGACCCTCTTTGTCTTGTTCAAGATGTCCCAACAAGATGAAACAGCACTTATCTTATGCTTGATAGATTAAACAAGTTAAAAATTTCAGTTCAACTATACTTAGCAGAACGTTCTGATTTAATGCCCTTTTCTACATTAGAATGGGCATTAATATTAAACATTATAAAACTGCTAAAGCCTTTTTTCCAATTAACTCAGGAAATGAGTTCAAAAATAACAACTTTGTCTTCTGTAATTCCAAATATGTGCTCATTGAAGAAGTTTATGTCAAAATGTCAAGATTGATTTAAGTATTCAAGAAACAAAGAATCGGCTTACAACTTCTTTAAAAAATCAATTTTTTTCTGAAATAAATGATGGGAAGTCTTTAAACATTTTGAAAAATAGGTACTATGTCATAGCTACTTCAATTGATCCAAGATATAAGTTTTCTTTCTTTGAGGATGAAATCAAAAAACAGGCTAAGTACTGGTTAATAAATGAAATTTTATCCTTTGAAAAAACTCTTTTTGTTCTAAAGAAGTAGATTTTAGTGTAAATGAAGAACCATCACAATTAAATTTTTCAATTAATACTGAAAAAGAAGACACTCTTGTTTCAAAGAAATTATAAATGCAACATCTAAAAAAACATTACCTTTTAAAAAATTAAAGTTAGAGAAATAATCAAATGAGATTTCGATTAGAAAAGAAATAAAAAAGTTTTATTCTGAACCACTTGTAGACAGAAAACTCTGTCCAATAAAGACCTGGATGCAAGAAGAACGATTCCCTTTTTTAAAAACAAATGCTTCAAAACATCTATGCACTTCTGCATCATCCATATTTTCTGAAAGATTTTTCTCAGAATATGGTAATATCTATGAGAAAAAGAGATCCATTTCTCCTGTTTTAGGCAATAACCTATTGCCTAAAACAGGAGAAATGCTTTTGTTTATTCACCATAATGGGAGGAAAATAGAATGACTCTTTGCATTTACTCATTTGTTGAAATTTTATTTGTTATGTTCTTTGATAGTATTATTAACTTTCTAAAACATTTTGTTTCATTGAATTTAATAATTTGATTTAAGAGGCATTCATAAAGTATGTATGCAGGTATGGGAGACAACATTATCTAAAAATGTTTAAATATTATTTAAAAGTGTACAAGTGTGTATAAGAAGTAGGGACAAGAGGGCAAATATGCAAAGTAAGGGCAAGGTCCAGGCAGCAAATATGTACATGGATGGGCCATCTTTTTCATGAATTTTACTCCAAAAATTTTTTCAAAATTTTTATTTTAAACAAAGACAATTTATTGAGTGAAAAAATCTTTAACAAAATATCATAAAAGAAAAAAAAAAAAAAAAGTTTATGATGAAATTTCAAAACAATATAATAAAAGCAAAAAAAAATTTAAACATTAAAAAAAAAAATTTTTTTGATTATTTTGATAGAAAATTTTTTTGCAAAACAAATTCTTTAAATTCTCAATTTCGATCATTTTAAATCTTAAAAAAATTGTTGGAAAGTTATGAGCTCCTCTCCAAATTGAAGGGGTAATAAATTAAACATGGTCATAACTTTGGAACATAAATTAATTGATGAAATTTAAAACCTATTGATGAATTTAGCTAGAGTATTAGATAGTGTAATGAAATAACTAAATGATTTCCCTTGCATTTGGAATAGGTGGTTGAGAAAATAACCTCTAAGGTTATTTTTGTTCCCAAGCTCTAATTACCATGATTTTTTGATGCAAAACACTTTCAATCTATGGAAGCATAAAAAACTTAAGTTTAGAGTTTTCACAAAGCTTGATAATGTCATATCTGAGACTTTTAAAAACATCATGTTAGAGCCCACTTAGCAGCGTGTCGGTAAACCATTTTGATTTAGAGTTCTCAAAACTAAATTTCTACTTAAAAGATAAATTACTTTCTTCTAAGAAAATGTATTTATCAAATAATTCTTAATAGTTTTTCAAACCTCTTTGTGCTCTGGGAAGTTTAAATTGAAGATAGGCTAATTACAATAGCGATCATTAAAACATTTAACGTTCGCTGTTTGGAATCAAATTTTTAGTTGAAGACTTGTTCAAACCCTTCATAATAACACCGGATATAGTATATATCTGGCCGGATACCGGATATTAAATTATCCGGTATTTTTAACCGGAAATCCGGCCGGATATAGTATCAAATACACCTCTAATCAAAATCATAATTTAGCAAAACAAGTTTATTTCATACAAACAGCCGTGT